TGATTAGCAGTGCACCAGTACAGACTTAAGTACTTTCAGTAAACCATTGCAGATTATTAATGTTTCAGAAATTCCAAAATTGCCATAGCCTTTCACAACCTATTACCCTTTTTGGACCTATTTTGTCATATTCAATTGATTTATTTATTAAAGCTGCTGTCCGTAACTTTTTTTGTGTTCAAAATAATCAAATTATATAATGAGAATGTACAACATGAACCCATTTTCCAAACCGTGTTTTTGTCTTACCCTGAATCATTATGTTGAAGTTGGTTAAGTGTTTATATTCTGACTATTTTACACTGGTCTGGTAGGAACTGCTGCGGAGTAGCACTTTACCTGCGTGACTCGACATAGACATAAACGGAGAGAAGCAGCTCCGGCAACAATGTTCTTCCGCAAGACACACGCAGTTCTGTTTATTAACCGCTAGAGCGCCAAAAGTTACAGACTGCAGCTTTAATAACAGATACTTTTGGCTTTGTTGCAACAGTTTGTGAAGGATACTTTTGTATTCCAACATGACAATACACCTGTTACATTACGTTTTTTTTCTTGCAAGTAGCCAAGCCTGTTTATTAAAAGTTAAGTTGTATCAAAAGTATTGTTCCAATGACTTTTAATCTCCCATGTACTCTCCCTGACAGCCAAGAACAAGTTGTCCCTCTCTGAGCAAAATGAACTACTTGACCACCTTCACAGTAGCTAGCGCCCCAAGTGAAGCATCTTGTGATAGGGAGGTTGAAAGACTGAAGGAGAGCAAAGTTTACAAATCCTCTGAAGTCAAAAAATATGTTGATAGAAGGTGGTTATGTGTTCGGGAGGTGAGGTACTGCACTGGACATGTTCTGTGTTCCACATTTCATGTTCAGTAGTTACACATTTAGACAGGTAGAAGGTAAAAGGACAGACAGGCATTTAGAGCACTTCCACTCATTTTGCGCTTGATGTTTACTTGTGTTCCGTTCTTTCTGCAGAACTTGCTTGTATCAAGGTAATTTTTTGTTGTTGTTGTTTTCCAGAGGTGGTGTAGGGTCTATGCACCGCATAGATTCTCTGCGGCAGTTACCACCAACAATGGAGTTGAGGCACTCAATAAATCATTGAAGAGCTTCTACCTCAAATTTTCTGGCACAGGAAGTCTTTCATCTCTGCTTGAAGCTCTAGTATGTGAGTTTGTCCCAGAGCAGTTGCTGTCATACAGTAGACTCAACTTCATCTACAGTAGTGAATGCAAGACTTACGTTCCAGCATTCCTGAAAGACAGGCCAAGAAGTTTTGTCAAACATTGCTTGAACAGTATCAAGGCAGCGTCCAGCTACCCATCATGTGAATGTGTCCTCTTCAAAACAACATTCTTACCATGCAAGCATTTCTTTGCCATTTTTAGGCACAGTGACAAAACGTGGGTTGATCTTAGCCCAGAGTACCGTCAAAGCCCATGTATAACTGGATTTCAATATTGCTTTAACACAAGATCCCCAGAACAATGAAATCAGCAATCAAGAAGACCTCTCCTCTGATGTTTTTGATAGTCCTTTACCATGCACGGGGAAGCCGAAACACAGTAGTGAGTCACAGTCATCAGGTGTAGCAGTCGATCAGTGGCATCTATGTGAACAGCTCAAGGCTTTGCATGACATGTCATATATTTGCACTGATAAAGAGGCTATTAAAATGCATCCAGAGTTGTTCATGGCCTTTGTGAGACCCTGAAATCCTGTTTACCCAAGGAAGATGGCCTGGTTCTCCAGCAGCAAGAACCTGTCAAGAAAAACCTTAGAGCTTTACCAAGTCGCTTGAAGAAAGTCAAACAAAAAACATCCAGGAAACGGAAACCAGTAGCAATAGATGCAAATGAAGGTGTGTTTGACTTTTTTTATCATATACAATGTTTGTTAAAATGTCATTTTAGGGAATACAGTATCAAACTAAAAGTGAAAGTTGTCATCCTTTAGTCACGCTCATGTTGTTCCAAACCCACATATGGTATACTGTTAATGATAAATCAGTGAAGTTTGCTCTCACAAGTCAAGCAAGTTCGTTTTAAGTTTTCATTTACCGTATTTAATGCACTCTATGTGTGTGTTGATCAATGTGTTTATTGTGAATTAAAATCTGAATGAAATTAGTTTATCATATAAAGTTTGATCGTCTCTCTTCAGAAAACTTGGATGTCTTTATGTACTTTTTGAAGGGTGAGGATTTTGATTTCATAGACTTTCAATAGATGCACAAAAATGACGAGAGAATGTTAAAATAATCTTAATTTGTATTCCAAAGATTAACTTGAGGGTGAGTAAAGGATGACAGATTTTTCATGTCTGGGTGAACTATCCTTTTTAATGTGCTAATCTTATTTTCCTGTTTAACATTTTGTAAGCAGTTCACCTTCCCTCATACAGTGCTTGGTGCTGGCATCCTTTTATGGTTCATTGTTTAAAATGCCTTTGAGTGTTATTTTCTCTTGTAAATGTAATGTTTTGATTTAATTCATTTCATTATCAGAGGATGCAAATCTCCGCAAAAAGTCAAAAACAAATATCCCAGAATCCCAGAGGACAGAAGACACAGAGATGGACAAAAACTCCACTCAAGTTGTTTTGTGCATTTGCCTTGACATAAAAAAAGGCATGTGGTGTGGATCTCTCCAAAGAAGAAGTGACAAAAGCGACCACAGTGACACATGTTGACAGATGTTCTCATTTGTGCCATAGTGAGCACTCACCCAGGCTGTCAGAGGTGAAATTGTATTATATATTATATATGTGAGGGTGAAATGTTAACAATGTGTTTTGTAAATAAAGTCTGTCCAAAGATCTGGATTATTTTAGCTTGTTTATTAATAGATTTTCTGCTCCTTTTATGTGTAGGACATGGCATCTGAGGTGAAGGATATTCTGGCACTACAAAACCCAAACCTGGTGATCAGCACATTACACAGAGTGACTTGGCCACACTGAAGGAGGGTTGCTGGCTTAATGACAAGGTAAAAGTTAGAAAAAGAAATTGACTATTTAGTTAAGACAAATGCCTTGGCTTATTAGGAATAAATGCATCACTACATTTTTGTAAAGAAAAGTGGACAAAAAAAGGTTTGTCCTCAATATTTTATCAAAATGTCAAGTCTTGGTCTCTGAAAAGGCATTCCTTTTTGAATAAATTGAATCTGCACTGCACATTAGGGCTGGGTACTGACAAGATTTATTGACAAATTTAATGATCAATTCGATTTTGATTCAGAAGGGTTCATAAAAATGAGAATCAATTTAAAATTGAGAAATATATATTTTATGTCTAACACCTTATAAAATCTTCACTGTTTTCTGCACTGCACTATTCACTGATGAACTGGCATCAAATAAATGTTGGGTACAAAAATTGGTAACAGTTAAAGCCTTTATGTATAATGCATTAAATGTATTCATAATGTAAGTTGTAATGCATTATATTTCATAAATAATTATTATCAAAGTTAAAATGCATTGTACTCTCTAAAGGTGTTCAATTAATAGATATGTATTATAACTGTGATTACAATCATTCATTAGGCCATACAATGCATTATAAGGTGCATTACAAGGCATAATTAATGCATTACAAGTATTTTGTATAATGCATTATACATAAGGGCTTTAAGTAAAGTGTTACCCAAAAGATCAATAAGTGTTTACTAATTTTGTAGCATTACAAGTTGTTGATACAGAAAATGCAAGTTTGATTGGGGGCTGGGGCAGGGGGGTGTTATGGATAGATAACTCAGAATCCAGTTGCAAGTGAAGTGATTTATTGTGACAATAAATAGTAAACAGGATCGCAAGCCAAACGTGAGGATTCAGGTGAGTAGACGTGAACACACGGGGATTGCGAAACCCTGACACAATCCAGCTAGGGCAGTGGAATCCAGCGAGACTTCGATGGTTTCCCACACTGGAAATAATCCGAGGCAGGGACCCACCGGGCACACAGACTCTGGAGAGAACAACAAGCATGAGCAAGGACAAACAACAATCTGACAACATGCAGTACAACACACGAGACAGATAAAGACAGGACAGAATGAGCGGCAGGTGCAGCCGTGCTGATTAGCTCGTCAGCACCGCGGTTGCCGGAGCAACGCTGAACGAGCAATCAGACAGGTAACAATACACAGGCACGCAGCAATGAACACACGGATCCATGAACCGTGACAGGGGGCTCTGATGATTTGATTTGCCAATACTATCAACACCAACGTAATCGTACAATTGTTGATCATAAAGCACTAATGCTGGATGTAACCAATGTCATGCATTCCTAGTAATGAGTATTTTTTTACTCTTCTCTATTCAAGGTTATCAACTTCTATTTGTCCTTGCTAATGAAGAGAAACAGTGATCAGCTGGGAAGCCTTAAAGTCTTCTCTTTCAGCACTTTCTTTTACACAAAGCTTCAGAGTGGTGAAGGCCATGCAGCAGTGAAGAACTGGACAAAAACTCAGGATCTCTTCCTCTTTGATCTTGTTTTTGTTCCTTTGCACTTAGGCATGCACTGGGCTTTGTCATTTATCATTTATAAGTTGGGATGCCTTGTTAAATTTTTCAGTTTTAATATTTACATGTGTTTTTTAAAAGTGACACTTAACACTTAACTTGTTGCCTATATTGCTTCTTACCACCAGGTAATTGATTTCAAATCCCAGACCATACAGTGTGCTATGACTCAATGGGTCAGAGACATGATATCTGTCACATGTTGTTGTGAGTGTCTCCTTATTTTTGCTGTTATTTTGGGGTTTGGTCATTCATCTTTGAATATCTGGATATGCATCTTCTGTTTTATTTAACAGAAAGTACCTCACAGAGGAGCACAAGGTCAAGAAAGGCTGCATCTTGGAGGCTTCCAGGTGGACCATCGGCCGAATGAGAACTTATGTATGAAACCATATAATGAATTATATGGATCTTCTCTGAATTAAGTGTCATTTTAAGACTAAATGTTCTGCTTAAAATTGTGTCTAGGCAATTCCTAAACAGGTGAATGGCAATGACTGGTGTTTTTGCCTATATATAATATAAAAGGTATTTGACACGAAACACCTGTGATCAGGACAGGTATCTGAAGTTACTGTATATAATATAAAAGGTATTTGACACGAAACACCTGTGATCAGGACAGGTATCTGAAGTTACTGTATATAATATAAAAGGTATTTGACACGAAACACCTGTGATCAGGACAGGTATCTGAAGTTACTGTATATAATATAAAAGGTATTTGACACGAAACCCCTGTGATCAGGACAGGTATCTGAAGGTACTGTATATGAATATAAAAGGTATTTGACACGAAACCCCTGCAATCAGGACAGGTATCTGAAGTTACTGTATATAATATAAAAGGTATTTGACACGAAACACCTGTGATCAGGACAGGTATCTGAAGTTATAACTGTAAAGGAAGGAACACAGGAAGCGTGCAGATCCATCTGCAAGGCTTTATTAACAGAGATGTGGTCAAAGGCATAGGTCAGACAATGGCAAACAGGTATATTGATGGCAAGGCAAGAGGGATAATCCAGGTACAAAGCAAAGGTCCAGGCAGGGGCGAGCAGTATCCAATAGGGCGAGACTCGAGGGATAATCCAGGTACACAGGCAGTGATCAAAACACAGGGAAACAGACAAGGCAAGACGAAAAAAACAAGCCACTAGGCTCGGTAATGCAGCTATCGCTAGATGAGTGATAAATGCAGAACAATACACGGCGATCTGAACAGGAACTGAGAGAATGTTAAATAGAGTGTGTAATGGCTCTCAGGTGAGCGTGTGATTAGTGAAGGCTGTGTGATCAGTGAAGGAATCCGGTCCGTGGCCCCCAAGGAGCGGCTTCCAGATGCTCCCAACACAATACCAACGAGGAGGGTGGTGGAGCGGAGGCAGAACAGGGGGAGGGACAGTGGGCCAGGTCCATGTGGAAATGGAGAGACTGGGAACTGAGGCAAAGCCGGCAGAGCAGAGCACCAAGGTGGAGCAGACGGAACAGGAGCCCACCAGGGCAGAGCAGAAGACCTCCATGGCAGAGCAGGAGCCCACCCTGGGCCTAACTCGGGGACATGAGCCCTTCCTGGGCGGAACTGAGGATCTGGAGCCCTTCCAGAGCGGTACTGGGGATCAGGATCGCGGGTGCTCTGGAGGAGCAGGCACAGCAAAGCGCTTTCGAGGAGCTGGCACTGGAGTGAGTCTTGGGGCTGGAGCTGACACTGGAGTGAGCTTGACTGGACTCAGAAAGATCAGCTGTGACTTGACTCATGAAGATAACCTGTGAATTGACTTGACTCATGAAGATCAACTGTGACTTGACTGGACTCATGAAGATCAACTGTGACTTGACTTGATTCATGAAGATCAACTGTGAATTGACTTGGTTTATGAAGATCAGCTGTGACTTGACTCGTGAAGAACAACTGTGACTTGACTTGGTTCATGAAGATCAGCTGGGACTTGACTTGACTTATGACAATAAACAGTTGATCGTCATGAATCAAGTCAAATCACAGTAACTTAACTTGACTCATGAAGATCAACTGTGACTTGACTTGCCTCATGAAGAACAACTGTGACTTGACTTGATTCATGACAATCAACTGTGACTTGATTTGACTCAGGATTGGCAGCTGTGACATAATGGGGCGCTGTTGTGGCCGCCATTTTGTGAGTGTGCTCTAGTGTGACCGCCATTACATGAGTGAGTGCGAGGTCACATTCCTCCGCGATGCCCACAGTGAACGTTGAACCAACAGTCAACAAAGCATAGTCTATAAAATCACTTCGAGATGAACGGGGACTCTCACGTATTAGTCGCAATTTGAGCGGCTGGTTAATGCCCTCACAAAAGAAGTCTATCAGCACACAGTCCGGCAGATCAGAGAAACATGCAAGATCTAAATACTCTTGAATATAGCTCTCGAGCGATCGGGTGCCCTGCTCGAGAGCTAATAACAGTCTTGCGGTGTCCATACCTGGCCAGTGTCAATGTAATGGTAGAGTGACCTCTAGTGGCAATCGGACCGGATTCGTGACAATAACAGTATGAATGTTATCTGACACAAAACACCTGTGATCAGGACAGGTATCTGAAGTTATAACATATAATATAAAAGGTATTTGACACGAAACCCCTGTGATCAGGACAGGTATTTGAAGTAAATGGCTTTTCCCCACTGCGCATGATCCGTGACCTATGCAGATTCTCAAATAGGCCACACCTACCTGATGACGCAGTTTTGATTACGCTGCTCTGAAACCCCTGGAAAAAAGTGCATCCCCTCTCGTGAACGAGCACGACAGTTAGCGGAAGCTAGAGATTAAGGTTTATAAAGTTGTAAATATGGATTTTTTTTCTTACCCAAACGCGTTGCTTTGCTTCAGAAGGCCTTTGTTAACCCCCTGGAGCCATGTTGACTTCTTTTATAATGGATGGGTGCAATTTTTTTTACTTCAAATTTTGGGCTACCATCCACTCCCATTATAAATCATGGATTAGCCTGGACATTATCAAAGACTATAGAATACCCAAGCCGTGTCACTCGTATAGTTTTGAATGGGGAAAAATGCCACGCTTAATATGGCCTCTCAATCGCAGGAAGCCCTGTCTTCTGAATGAAAGAGCCAATGGCTAATCGGTAAAGTCAGCGCGTCACTGCAGCTGCCTAGAAGCGTCCCGGTTGCTATAGAAACAGTCAGCATTCTGAGACGTGCGCATTGGCTGATCTAGCCTGAAAAAATAAGCTTTTTATAACGCTATTTGAGCAAAAGAAATTACATTTATGACACAGTTGTTGTCAGATTTCATTGGTGATTTCAAATATGAAATTTAATCGTAAGCTTAGTGAACAGTTTTGGATAATTTAATGTTTCCCCATACAAAGTGACTTTACTTCAAATTTTGGGCTACCATTCAGTCCCATTATAAAGCATGGATTAGCCTGGACATTATTTAATATAACTCCGATTGGATTCGTCTGAAAGAAGAAAGTCATATACATCTAAGATGGCTTGAGGGTGAATAAATCATGGGGTAATTTTCATTTTTGGGTGAACTATCCCTTTAATTCGCAGGGAGTTGCGTTTACGTCGGGAGAGGATTTTGAGGCCTCGAGTTGCTTTTTGTCATATCCTCATGCATTTTTATTTGAGTGTTACCATTTTTCTAGACAGTCAATTACAGATTTGTACTTATACTAGAGTATTGTTTGATGTGTAATGTAATTCTGGAACTTATTTGAAGATTATTTAATGTTTTATGTTTTTGATAAAGTAACGCACATCATTTTATTATTTCTGATTCAGATTGTTTGCCACTTGAACCTTGCCAATAATGAACCACTTAATTCACTGTTAGTGTTGTAAAGTATTGTATTTTCTTGAAAATTGTGGCTGGTTAATATTTCCTTACTAAGGACTACTATTGGTAAATTATATAAGATTATTGATTGGGTTATTTACCTGTGTGAAAAAAAGGTTGCTTTATATTAGTGAAATGTTACATTTTAATACATTGGCTATGCATACTTGATAATACTTTCTTCTTTTTATGTGTGCTGGTGAATTGCTAAAGAGTGTGAGTTGAGGTAACATTTATTAATTTTTTATTTTGTTGTATATATAAAAATGATTTTAAATATACTGTTTAAATATATAAAATTACATTCTTAAAATGCATACCTTACAAGACTATTTTCTTTTTCATATGTGGTGGTACACTGGTAAAAGACTGCGAGTTGAAGTAAGTCAAACATTTGTAACTATTAAAAATGTATTTTGAACACACTGCTTAAATAAAATTGAATGTATTTCAAAGCATAGCTGACAAGTCTACCTTTTCTTTTATGTGTGGTGGTTTCAAGTTGAGTTCGAGTTGAGTCAAGTTAAATGTTTGTTTCTTTTCATAGTAAAATTGAGGGTACAACAGCACATGCTAGACAATCTTATAATTAATAATCAGTACTTGTGCCTTGTCAAAGATTTATGTAAATATTATTTACATCGCTGGTGATAAAATATCAACATTATAATAAAGTAATATAATTTCTTGTTCTGTTGTTTACATTTCTCTTGATATCAGTACAACACATTTTCATGTCATGCGAAGTATGTTCATCATCTGTACTGTTTGAATACCTACAGTGTTATCAGGTTTTGATGTTTTAAATTGTTTAAGAATTAAAAACTGCTGTCTCATGAGTATATGTAGTAATTCCGTTTGTGTGTTCACAGATGCCACGACCCAAGAAGAGGTCCACTATCGCCAAGAGAATATATGCACAGCGATGTGCATCTAAAGAGGCTGCATCGCTTCCTCTTAAAATAAGTGAAGCGGAGGCTGCACTGCTTCCTCTTAAAACAAGTCAAGCAGAGGTTCCGCCGCTTCCTCTTAAAAAATGGCAGAGGCTGCACGACCCCCTCTTAAAACAGAGGTAACGTCGCTTCCTCGTAAAAATGGCTGACTTGCCAGACTGCTCTAGCAGTTGTTCTCATGCTGCCACCCAGCAGGTTCCACCCTGTCCTGCAAAAACAAACAGGAAAGAGGCTGCACCACTTCCTCTCAAAACAAAACAAGTCGAAGTTATGACACATTCTCGTTCAAAAATAGGTGGTTTTTATCACTGTGTAGAAACCACACCTCAACAGGTTCCATCCCATCTTGTGGGTACAATCGTCGTAGAGGCTGCAGCGCTTCCTCTTAAAAGAATTGAAGCCAAGGTTATGCCACGTCCTCGTCCAAAAATAGGTGGTTTTTATCAACGTGTAAAAGCCACCCCACAGGATCCATTCTGTCCTGTTGCAGCAATCGGGGTAGAGGCTGCACCGCTTCCTCTTAAAACAAGTGAAGCCGAGGTTTCACCGCTTCCTCGTAAAAAAATGTTAGGCTTGTCTGGAAGTGCTGGCAAGTGCCATTGTGCAACTCAGCAGCTTGACTGGTCTGAAAAATGTGGACTGATTAGACAAAACCCAGTCACTGCAGCAAGGATG